GGGGGGATGATATTGGCAGTAATCCTGGGACAAGTGGCGTTAGTTTGCTCCTGGTAGGATATCGTCAGTAATCCGTGAGATTTCCATAGCTTATATATGTGATGTGTGATATAGCCTCCAAGGCTAAATGTAACATGTAGATGATCATGAATGTAAATATATATTTGTATTGTTTATTTCTTTTGTTATATGTATAAACAGGTGAATGCTGATTTATGATAATATATATACAACAATATAGTTATATTGCACACCAACAGTTAATAAATAGCATTTATTGAACTGTATCATATTGTTCTGGTTGTTCTGGTAAAATATTTATCATTTTAACAATTTACTAAAATCTGTAACAATTTCCTGACTGATACCAAGAGTCATAGCAGTCACATGAAAGGTCTCTTCTCTTTTAATGTCATATTGATTTGTCGATTAAAGTACCGTTAAGTGTGTGTTATTAAGAAACAAACACAATTCAATATTATGCTTTTTTTAATTCCGCTACACTAACAAATGTATACACAATTTTTGTACAAAATTTATTTACCAGTCTTTACAAGATAAATATTCAGTACAACATATTTTTTGGATGAAAATGAAATTAACTTGTGGTAAAACATACCATAAAGTGAACACATGAACACATACTGAAATTCATTTTAGCAAAAACCATTTAACTTACTATTGCCTGGTATCTATTTGTATCTGTAGTATATTGGAGAATTTCACTTAAAGGGTGTCATTTTCCAGATATCTACCAGAGTTCTGTCTCCTAGATTGTACCAATTGTAACAGCACCGTTACAAAAGTCCCCAAAACTACCCCCTGCTGTCGTTAATGATATCAGAAGTCACTATACTGTTCGAATTGGCACAATACACCTACACACCAAATTTAAATGGACGAATCAGGGGCTGCGGCAGCCATCTTGGTTGTGCAGTGGCAAAAAAAAGGTGTCTTGCACAAGTTTGTTTGGGGACTTAATAATGAAGCCGAATTGCACTGTGAAATGAGGACAGAATTAATTGCTTTATTGACTTTTTCCTACACTATCTTAAAATTTTAAAAACATTTCCATTAAAAAAAATATACATATAATTTCTGTAAAAACCATATTTACAAGCTCTAGCAATAAATAGTATAGCACTTTGATAAATAATATTAAATTAGGTTGTCTTGTAACATAAAAGTGAACAAAATTTGTGCAAGTTGGACATACCTGGTATTCTAAATCAGGACAATTCAGGTAAAAAAAAATCTCCTTGACCCCAAACTGCCCATTACTTCTAAGCAACTTATTAATTGAATTTAATAAATAACCTGGAATCCTTGGGTGGGATAGCAGTTTTACTTGAATAGCCCCGATCAGATCTCATATATATGAATATTTTGTATTTTACCTAAGGCTATAATTTAATATAAAGTCTATACAATCATTTTCTTCAAACCACTTATCAAGGGTCAAGCATCCATCAATGTACAATACACAACATATCCGACACCTGTATTCATGTGCGACTTAAACTTACATAAACAATATCTTCAACATTAAAACTTCTCAACAGTTTGATTTCATTTGAATTTTGGTTCTATTTCAGTGGAGATAACACTTCTCTTCATCTATTAAAACAATATTTAATAATGACATGGATTGAAACAATCAAAGTGTAAAAAATATGTGAAAAATCCAGACCTGATTGGTCGAAGCTTTAAAAGAATAATGAGATGTGAACATTTTTAAAAACCAATCAAATGTTGGGAAATATCAGAATATTTTTAAAAATTGTTATGAATTTTTTACTTATGAATCCCTGTCGCACTGCAGTGTGGCTTTTCATATATACAATAAGCTCCCTTTAATTTCGTTTAGGGTGAAGTTGTAGCACATTTGGGCCATGACACTTTCAGTGACCAGGTAGTTTGATTGGTAAGAGCGATAGTATAACAAACTGAAGTCCTGGGTTCGAAACCTGGTTTATTTCATTTTTATCATTTTTTCATAAAAGCGTTATGGTTACAGAAATGATAAACCAGAGCAATAGTCATGCCAGGAAAAATAGTGTCCAATGCGTAGTAAAACTTTTTGCAGTGGTACGGGGATCCTTAAGATAATAATATGAATCTCGGTAGATATAATTTTAGGCTCTTCAATACATGTTTTAACATATATACTAAAGAGACCTTTTGAAACAATTTGTCGTTAGGTCGAACAGACAATAAACCATTGGGCCATTCACTGCAAGTAATTTCCAGCTCAAAACATTTCAAAGGATGGCTAGTCTATTGGGAAGTGTCCTCGAATTACCAGGGGTTATACTTACCTACATTCTCTGCATCTGTAGAATTAGTCATGACAAAATCGAAGGCACACAGTTTGATTGGTCTCTGGTGAATAATCCTGACCAATCTACAGCTGATACCTGTCTTTTTAAGACTACAGAGGAGCGACACCTGTTTACCTCAAAGCTGGTCAATTTTCTCGTTAAGCTGCCATGCGATTGCTTTGATGCACATCAAAGGATCAAAGTCTACTTGTATCATCCACAAGGTGGCGCATACCGAGCCTTTGATTTTGTCATGACAAATTTCAGAGATAGGGATGAAGAGAATGTAAGATTCCTGGAATTTCAAGAATGACTTGGAAGACTTAGTCATGAATCTAGCAGATTTTGTGGTTGATAATGAAAATATCATGTCGTGAATACTAATTCTTGTTGAAAGGTGTATTCAATTCTTCTTGAAAAACTTTTAAATTTTCTTATTTTCTATGAAAGTAGCCGATACACATTTGAAATAAACATCAGTTATTTTTATTCAAAGACATAAATTCTTATCAAAGGATACATATTTTTGGAACTGTTCTCAAGCTTACTTTCTCGCAACTTGCCAAAAATCATGCGATGCATCAAGTGTAAACAATGAAAACAGTATTCCGCTTCAAGTGTCTCAAACTGTCCTTCAAATCATTGACAAAATGTGATTCTTTTATCAACAGATTGCCAGAACAAGAAAATGTGCTTGAACACAGATTCTAAGTTAAGGCATACAAATCTTTTAATGAATACAGGCCCAGATTAACAGCTACATGACAGTTCCCTGTGATCAAAGGCTCATATTGTAGACCTCTGAACATACAAAATATTTTTATACAATTATTACACAAAATTATAGGACAATAACAGAACTTACACAGAATCCTCTACATAAATAGAAAACTTGAACCAAACAGATGAATGTGATTAAATAAATATATAAATATACGTTTATACGTAAGCTAATTAAGTTAAGTATATTTATCGATACAGAATCTATAAAGATCCTCCTTAAATTTAGACAAGTACAAGTATATAAATTTTGCCAACTTTTGGCCTTAAATATCTGGTGCTGTTTGCAAAATTAAGTTTTATTGGATATTGGGAAAATACTTAAAAAATATAAAAGGCCCACAAATAAACATATATTTGTTTTGGTTAAAAACCATACAATTAGATTAACATATCTTCAAAATATCAAAAAATGTCTAAAGCAAAAAGTGGCATGTTTCAGCATTCTTGCTAAAATATAATATTTTTGCAATACTTTTAGAGACTTTTCAATAATATTTGTACAAACTTGTACAAATGAGGTTTCAGCATGATATAAATTGATCAAAATGGCAGTAAAAACACATTTCTTTTTTGTTGTGTTTGTCATGAAGTTCATTTCTGACAGGGAAATCTTTATGTGTCTCTTACCTTGATTTGAGATTTGCTGCCAGAATGACAAAAAGTTAAAAATAAGAAATCTTGTCCCGAGGAAAATATTAATCCTCCCACACCAACGTATGAAACAAGGTGATAACGGTGTCAGTACATTGTAATAGATTGTCTAACTATGTAGTGAATGGAATGCCCATCACAAGTACGGCACAGATGATACTTTAGCCTGACAAGAGATATGTAGACTAAAAAATAACACAAGTAAGAAAATGCTAAATATATAGAGGCTATTTATTACCAACATCATTCGGATAATTACTGAAACATCTGCAAAACAGCTGATTCATAAATACTTGCCGCTCTACGGCACTTCCTGTCACTATATAACCCCTACTAAGTTTGGATGGCATTCATTAGACTGTAAATGTCATGGCTCACACAATAACATCATCATTTTGATATCATAACTGTGTTAAAATCAACTCCATGGAAAATGGCTTTTTATTCATTGAACAAGCGTACATAATATATACACTAATTTGAACTAAATATTGAATTTGACCTAAAGCAGATTTTCATTTTCTATGATATTAAAATACTCCAAAAATGGTAAATATAAGCATTGAACTGTTCAAATTAAGCATTTACAATCTACATGAATGACTAGGGCTGTAACGATATATCGTATTATATTGTTATACTTTAATTTCTCGTGTATAGTATCAAATTGTTTTGTTTGGCTGTATCTCTCAAAATTACTGAAAATCATACAAAAATTATTGAAAATCTATAACAAAACTCGATAAAATCCTGCACTCAATCATTATGAAGTTGACCTTTTAAGCAGATTTTTGTATCATGATACGTATTGTATCATAAGCATTATACAGCGATACATAACGTACCATGAGGAATGCGTATCGTTGCAGCCCTTTAAATGACACAGCTTTGCAGGGTTTGGTTTGTTTGTGTTTTACATCCGGTTAACAACTATGGTCATTTAAGGACATGCCCAGTTTTGGTGGTGGAGGAAAACCAGAGTAGCTGGAGAATAACCACAACGCGACCAGTACCTGGCAACTGCCCTATGTAGGCCTTGAACCGGTGACCCAGTAGTAGAGAGCTAGTGATCATAGATGTCAGACACCTTAATCACTCAGCCACTGCATGATGTTTGACTGCAAAGCTGTGTCAGTAATATAGACTGTAAATGTCAAAATCGACCCAGTTCAATGTTTAATCAAACAACCTATACATGTATACAATCAAAACAGCATTTAATAATAAAATCATCTATTGCGGACATACAAATATCTAACAAATTCATATCCATACAAGTTCCATTTCTTTCATGGAGCTGAATCGATTTTAATTGAATAAAATAGGGAGGCTCGTAAAAATCTTGATATGGTCCATCAATGTAATTGATATATCGTTTCCAATACTACAAAGTATTTAAGCTCCAATTCTAAGAACAAGTGTTTGATATAACATGAAAAAGTGGAACTGGAAGTGTAATAATTAAACAGTTCAGTAATAAATACAGTTGTTTTTGATGATATGCAATAAAACCAGAGTGAAGTTTTACAGTTTTCTAAGTATCAAACTCTTATTTACATGAATATGTTAAAACTCTGTATAAAACATTTCCCTTACGATTTGTCTCAAAGTTTTGATATCGTGGGTGGAGGTAACAACAAGAGCTAGTGGTAATCATTGTACAATCAAAGTACTCACAATAACTTAGATATTTTTTATATGTACATTGTTTTAAGTTCGACTTATGTAAGTTTTTCTTTCAGTTGCTGTTTTGTGATACATTTTAAACAATTTCCCTATCTTCAAATATATACATCACATTCTAGCTGCTCGTCAAGCAGCCTCAATACCCCAGGGGTTACACTCTCTCACGTTCTCTGCACCCTGTAATATGTCATCACAAAATCAAAGGTTCAGTGTGGCCACCTTGTGACCGATACAAGACTAGTTCGATCCTTTGATGTACACGTAAAGAATCATGTAACAGCTTAACATTAAAATTGACCTGCTTTAAGTTGGGTGTCTGTCCTTTGTTATCTTCAAATGACAGGTATCGGCCTTTGTTTTTTTACCTGAAACCAATCGAATATCTAACAGCATGCCTTCGATTTTGCCATGACTTGTTCCAGGGGTGCAGAGAAAATACTAGTCTAACCCATGGAATTTTGAGGATATTCATAGAGACACGAACATCAAAATGACAGACAGAATTAAGAATTAAAATATGTTGCACTCATAAAAGTCAGTCTGTAAAGTTATTTTACATGTTAAACAATATTTAAATGAAAATGAATTAAAAACAATAATAATTTAAGATGAGATTTTAAACATCATCTTTGAAATCATCTAATGTTAAAACACAAGTTTATTGGAGGTAGTTAAAAACTAATTTGAATACCAGTAACTGGAAATATAAATATGATGATGGGATGACAATTAAAATGTACAAAATATCATAACAGGCTGACTTTGCCGCCAATATTGATTGTGTGTAGTTTTTTAATATCAATTTACATCTCCCATTAATTTTACAAAATAGCAGAAGTTATACATGGCAGTGATCCAAAAAACCAAGATCATATATGACATGACATTGTGAGTTTTTAGTAGAAATAATGAGACAATAATCACCAACCTGAATGAATAGGATATTTATGTGGGAAAAACAAGAAGAAGAAAAAACAGCGGTACCTTTGAGTACAGGCCGCAGGTTGATTTTGATTTTTTTTTACTAGCCTGACTTATAGTTTGGTTTGTTAGTTTGTTTTGTGTTTTACATCCTTTTTAACAGCTGTGGTCATTTAAGACTTGCCAGGTTTTGGTGGCGGAAGAAAGCAGGAGTTCATGCAGTAAAAACACCGACCTACGGCCAGTACCTGGCGACTACCCCACGTATGCTTCTAACGTACGACTCAGTGGTGGATGGCTAATGATAAAGACCGTCAGATGCCTTAACCCCTTGGCCACCGTGGCCCCTTAAAATAATGAAAATTTGCACTTGCCCCAACTTAGCATCTTTAAGTGCAATTGTGAAGTCCAACAGTGTGGATGTGACTGTGAAACTGACGGCCAAAGCTTTCACCAATAGTTAAGCAAATTATTTCAGAATGTCATAAAGTAAAGAGTCCAAACAATCCGTGTTGTATCTCCGACAAAAAAGTTTCCATTTTTTTCAGCATTTCATTTAGACCTTACTCGGAGTTGCTTCCCCTTTTTCTGTAGAAAAGAGTTATACAAAATGTAATATAGTTTTTAATCATTTCCATTTCTATCAAAACATCTCAGTTGCAGGGATTCAATCACTGGACCTCTTAATTATAAAGCAGGAAGTTTATCCACTGAGCTATAGTTCATGATATTTGTTATGTTAATGCTTTTCTGCAACATTACTGGGTATAATTTCAATATGTGTCAGGTCCCTAGACAGATTGGCAACCTTTAATTGTCTTTGTGTGAATATAGATGTTATAACATGAATTAAACATGAAACAACTTTCCAAATAAGGTATATACTAGAACACTGCAATGACTTTACTTCAACGTGAACTGCATAATAATTGAAATTCTAAATAGAAAAAAATATTCATTTTAGGTTCTGTATCGTTGACAGCCATTCACTGACCTGAAGCTTCTCAAACTCATTTCCATCACAAACCTGTATGATTTGTGTGAAATTGAGTGAAATTCATACAAGCCATATGACAACAGAATACATTTTTTTCTCTCAAAAATTATGACCAAAAAAAGTTCATTATCAATTATAGTTTTGCCTTTGCTGTGAAGATGTGATATCACCATAATGTTGCGTGTGACAGGGCGAAAATTACATGTTACATGTTAAACAAAAAATTGTCATAGTGTTGCTGCACTGCATAGCAGCATGGGTATATGATAAAAAGGCTTACACTACTTAGCATAATAAAACAAGATATTCTAAGGTAATACAACCTCAAATAATACCCAAGGTGCAAAAAAGCTGAGATCATACATCATTTCGCTTCAGAAAACGATGTCATGAAGAAATTTTATAATCATACTGAAGTAATATTACTATACACATTTCAAACAAAAAATCTTGCAATGTCCACTTTCTTTCTTTAGAACATGTAAATAAAAAATAATTGGCATTTAATAGTTAAATCACAGGTACTTGCCTTGTCTGTCAAAACACCCACAATATAAATATATATATTATCGATGTATTGACAAAAGAGGCTAGTATCTCTGGTTAAAGTTAAAGACTTTTTTCGTCTTCCATTAACAGGCTCAATCTGCGAAATGAAAAGTGTGATTAGGACTTTGACATTTTTACCTAGAGTTGAAAATGTCTGAATAATTTAAAAAATACAGTTAAATTCAGTGATCTGGTAAGGGTTTGGTCTAATATTTTCTCTTCTTCTGCAGTTTTGCCAGATCAGCTTGCAAATCACCTACTAAACAATCAATATTGACAGAAGATAGGCGCATATTAAGCACACAAAATCAAACAGGTGTTGATAATATAAGAATTTGTGTGTGTGTTTATCTTGCTATCACAGTCCATAAAAAAATCAAAAACCCATTTTGTCATAAATCTTCATCCTTGTTTTCCAACCACAACTGTAGCATGATAATGGAACACTCGTAAAAAAAAAAAAAAAACTTTGGAAACAACAGTTTTACACAGTTACGTAATACAGGGGGAATATTAAGAAATATAGTGCAATGTTTCTTTGTACAGATCTCTTGCTTCCGCAGGTAATTGTCTCTCAAGTCTAGAACTCTTAAATCAGGAACGTATATTCTTTCCTTTGGCAGGTTTCATTTCTTTAATTTGTTTTGCCAATTCTGTGTTCTTGGTCTGCAAGTAAAATAAAAATAGATTAGAATAAAGTTATTAAAATTTTGTATCAAATATGCATAATATGTACAAGTTATTTCCTCATTATAACATTTTTTGCTCTCTCATACACAACATTGAGGTTGGAAGACTTCAGCATTGTTGAGTGATTGCAAATCTTGTAAAAAAAGAGTTAGTTCTAGGTATGGTGAAAGACCTGTGTGTCAATATGGTGTAAAAGTTTTGCCCTCGTATAGTGATTTTTCGTTCGTCAACTCTGTGGATCTGTCTAGACTTAACTTCAGCTGGCTACCGGTCAATGAATGACAACACGTTTTATAAAGTTCTACAATTTATTATGTACAAAATGAAACAGTGAAGTAAATTAGATGAAACATGATGAATAGATATGCACAATGCTACAGAACGTCAACCACTCGACCGGCCCATACTAAAAACAGTATATCCGTGTAACATATGTCCTTTTAAAAAATGTCCACCCGGTATCCCATACCGGGAAATACGTTTAAACTAACTCCGATAATATATTACAACATGCCTACAACGGGAAATAACCACCCTAAATTAACACTGAGATTATTCTACCAAAACATGCCTATAATGGGAAAATACCACCCAGCTCGGAATAATTTTGAGGTCTAAGGCCGAAATACACTCCTACCCATAAGAAGGGAGAAGACAAACCGGCCAGCTACATGTAAGCCTCTGCCAGAATGATTTACAATACCAAAACACCCAGCTATATAACCAAATTTAATTGTATGCCTTGAATTACACGTGCAATGTAGTATTGAACTTGATACTGACCCATACCTGAGCGTAGAGTGCTGTACAGGTATAGTAACATATCCCAAAAATATTAACCAATCAGAAGCGTTTAAATATACTACCGGAAGGGAATCCCCAACGGGAAAACCCCAGGTAAACAATATGGAGCTGATGATCACAACATGCACTCTGTTTTACGAAAAGTAAATTTATACGGAAATATATACCACAAGTAAGTGTTCAAAACCCAATCATTTTACAATTGTATTTAAACCAAAACCAGTGTAGGTATTGGAAGTTGTAGTAGCTTTGAGAAGCTTCAGTGTGACAGTGTGTGTTTATGAAAGTAAACCTGTGTAAAACTAAGTTCTAGTTACCGCGAGAGACTCCAGTGTGTCAGTGTGTTTATGATAGTTACCTAGTGTAAAACTAAGTTCTAGTTACTGTGAGAGACTCCAGTGTGTCAGTGTGTTTATGATAGTTACCCAGTGTAAAACTAAGTTTTAGTTACCGTGAGAGACTCCAGTGTGTCAGTGTGTGTTTATGATAGTAACCAAGTGTAAAACTAAGTTCTAGTTACCATGAGAGACTCCAGTGTCAGTGTGTGTCTATGATAGTAACCCAGTGTAAAACTAAGTTCTAGTTACCGTGAGAGACTCCAGTGTGTCAGTGTGTTCATGATAGTTACCTAGTGTAAAACTAAGTTCTAGTTACCATGCGAGACTCCAGTGTGTCAGTGTGTTTATGATAGTTACCATGTGTAAAACTAAGTTTTAGTTACCGTGAGAGACTCCAGTGTGTCAGTGTGTGTGTATGATAGTAACCAAGTGTAAAACTAAGTTCTAGTTACCGTGAGAGACTCCAGTGTGTCAGTGTGTTCATGATAGTTACCTAGTGTAAAACTAAGTTCTAGTTACCATGCGAGACTCCAGTGTGTCAGTGTGTTTATGATAGTTACCCAGGGTAAAACTAAGTTCTAGTTACCATGAGAGACTCCAGTGTGTCAGTGTGTTCATGATAGTTACCTAGTGTAAAACTAAGTTCTAGTTACTGTGAGAGACACAAGTGTGTCAGTGCGTGTTTATGATAGTAACCCAGTGTAAAACTAAGTTCTAGTTACCGTGAGAGACTCCAGTGTGTCAGTGTGTTTATGATAGTTACCCAGTGTAAAACTAAGTTCTAGTTACCTTGAGAGACTCCAGTGTGTCAGTGTGTTCATGATAGTTACCTAGTGTAAAACTAAGTTCTAGTTACCATGAGAGACTCCAGTGTGTCAGTGTGTGTTTATGCTAGTAACCCAGTGTAAAACTAAGTTTTAGTTACCGTGAGAGACTCCAGTGTGTCAGTGTGTGTTTATGCTAGTAACCCAGTGTAAAACTAAGTTTTAGTTACCGTGAGAGACTCCAGTGTGTCAGTGTTTGTTTATGATAGTAACCCAGTGTAAAACTAAGTTCTAGTTACCGTGAGAGACTCCAGTGTGTCAGTGTGTGTATGATAGTAACCCAGTGTAAAACTAAGTTCTAGTTACCGTGAGAGACTCCAGTGTGTCAGTGTTTGTTTATGATAGTAACCCAGTGTAAAACTAAGTTCTAGTTTCCGTGAGAGACTCCAGTGTGTCAGTGTGTTTATGAGAGTAACCCAGTGTAAAACTAAGTTCTAGTTACCGAGAGACACCAGTGTGTCGGTGTGTTTATGATAGTTACCCAGTGTAAAACTAAGTTCTAGTTACCATGAGAGACTCCAGTGTGTCAGTGTGTTCATGATAGTTACCTAGTGTAAAACTAAGTTCTAGTTACTGTGAGAGACACCAGTGTGTCAGTGTGTGTTTACAATAGGAATCCAGTGTAATTCTATGTTCTAGTTACCGTGAGAGACTCCAGTGTGCCAGTGTGATGTTTGTGGATGGTCTGGATCTTCAGTCGAAACTCTTTATCTGTTTCATAAGCCTGGGCTTTGAGTTCATTTATCTGAAAAGAAAGTTTAACTAAATATTAATAATTTCTTGTTGGTTTCCATTTGAAACTGGAAACTGTTTTTCCCAGGATGACTATAAGTTTGATAAACTATCTCTGAAACGAAACAAGATATAGACCCTGCACTTCAGAAGGCTAAACTATCGCTCTAACCAATTGAGCTACCAAGACAAAGGAAGAGTTCTGACCAAATAGTTCTACAGTTATATCCACACGGAAGTTAAGGGGAAGTCACTGTATATCGGAAAAGGAAAACTCACAGTGCAGTAGGACAGGGATCCTTAACAAGATGTCATACCCAAATAAATATACAGCATTTGATATAGTGCCCTATCTAGCTTACATAAGCCACTCTTAAGCGCTTTAACAAACCCATCTACATGTACCAGTAACCAGAAAAATGGAAATGCTTTTTAAAGCAATGGTGTCATGTTTAAAGCAAAATTGACCTTGACCCTTTCAAAGAAAACAAGAGGACCAATGGGCCTGCACTGCTCACCTGGTCTAAATCTCACACTAGTAACCTTAAAAGTGATCTAAAATGAGGGCTACGAAAAATATCAAACATATTTGACCCCTGTGACCTTAAATATAAGTCAAGGTCATTCATTTAAACAAACTTTGTAGTCCTTCATCCTAGTCTGCTACTGGTAAAATATCAATATCCTTGGCATTTTGGTTAATCAGAAGTTGTTTAAAGTTGTTTTTAGACATTAGACCCCTGTGACCTTAAATATGAGTGAAGGTCATTCATTTGAACAAACTTGGTACGCATCATCCTAGCATGCTGCTGGCTAAACTTCAACATCCTGTGTCTTTTGGTTATTCAGAAGATATCATTTAAATATTTTAAACACATTTGACCCCTGTGACCTTGAATATAATTCAAGCTTGTTCAAATGAATGACCTTGAATTCAAGGTCATTCATTTGAACAAACTTGGTAGCGCATCATCCTAGCATGCTACTGGCAAAATATCAACATCCTAGGCTTTTTGGTTATTCTTCAGAAGTTGTTTAAAGATTTTAAACATATTTGATCCCTTTGACCTTGAATAAATATCAAGGTCATTCATTTAAACAAACTTGGTAGCACTTCATCCCATCATGTTATGGGCCAAATATCATCATCCTGTGCCTTTTCGTTTTTCAGAAGAAGTTGTTTAAAGTTTTTAACATGTTTGACCCCTGTGACCTTGAATACAGGCGAAGGTCATTTATTTTAACAAACTTGGTAGCCCTTCATCCCAGTTTGCTTCTGGCCAAATATCATCATAGGCCTTGTAGTTATTAAGAAGAAGCCGGACGCCACATCATGGCATAAGCTCACTTGGCCCTTTGGGCCACGTGCACTAAAAATTGGCCTCTACCTTTTTTAAAGCCAGTGACCGCAGTAATTCAAATCCTATTTAAATTGAAGGTGAACCTGACTATAAACATTGTTTTACAATTTGAACTTAGTGCAGAACACACCATGATGTTATTACAAAGCCTTCCATTTCACGTAGAATGGTCTCAAATAGCTATGACAAGTTTCAGACCATGTAGGTTAGCACAGACAATGTGTATACCAGTTTGTCCTTTTCCATGAGTTGTTGATCCTTGGCCTGAAGTTGTTTACGCATGGTTTCCATCTGGTCCTGTAACTGCTGAAGGGCAATGAGGTGCTCGGAGCTGTGGGGATCGTCCACCTTATCTGTGGCACTGCTGGCGTTCAGCATGGACAGACTCGATGAAAGGCTCATTGAGAAACTGCTACTGCTTTGGAAAACAGTAATGTTACAGAAATGATTACAAGGAGAAACCTCTATCAAAAACAAAACAGGTGATATAAATGTCGCTCCAGTGTTATTTCCCGTTGTATTTCTCTCGTGTGATACATGTATACAAATAGATGCCAACCTTATGTGGGTAACTTTCTATTCCTGCCAGATTACCTGCTGCTAGCTACATGTAATAATTTTCTCGTTAATTTACGAGGAGACTAATTTACAAATTTGCAAACATAAATTCTATGACAACAATATTGCAATATCGTAATCTGAATTGCAAATTCAAGTACAGTAAATAAAATAAAAAATACAGGCATAGTTTTGCGAAAATTAAGTACACAAACAAATAAAGGTTTTAACAGCATATTAGGTGGTCACTTCTTTAATTCATAAAGGATACAATCTTACTGAGAGTAGTACAATGTATATTGATGTTAACATATCATGTTGCAAGATTTATGATATCACTGATCATACATTGTGTTTGACACTTAGTCTACAGTTAGACAACACAGTTAACATTATGGTAAGATACAAAACTGCGACAAGTAAAGTTTGGCTGGCTTGCTCTAGGTGCTGTAGGAGATGGTTGTGAAATTGTCAGGGTCAATATTTTCTGAAATGTTAAACAGTTTAATGACCAAAACACCCATAATTTGTTTGGCTAAGTTATGATAAGTTATAAAAAAAAAATTGCCTGGCTTGTTCTAGGTGCAGAAGATTGCTGTGAAACATCAGGGCGCAACTGTTGAAAGCAGACAGAAAAGTCCATTTTCTGATCTTTGATAATATCAAGAAAGTGGAAGATCTAGATTATATTACTTGACCATGTTGATGGGCAATAAAACGATACAAAACAACTGACTACATACCATGTGCTGGGATTAAATTATGCACATTAGAAGGGGGAAAACTCACAAACTTTTGAAAATTTATAGAGGACTGTCCCTTGCTAGAGAGTGTTTAAAATTAACCCACTATGTTTTACAGTGAAACCTGTGTACTCTAACACCATGTGGACGGGGACAACAATATATAGGTCAGATTAGACAGGTTATTGGAAAACATATGACTGTTTTATACTAGGTAGTTTCATTATAAACTGAATTTTAACATGAACAACACAGGAGGTTTGAATATTCAGGGGTCTGATAAGACAAGTTTCCTGGTATTATGTGCACAAAGCTTTCAATGATTGGGCCTAGATTGACAAGATAAAGTTAGGCTTGTTCAACACACTGAAACAGATACATATCAGTTAACTGGAGTTGTGTACATCATTAACTCATTCACCCCTATGTATTTAAACTGAACTTGCCCAGTCTTTGAATTGGTATGGTTCAAATGTGACTTTAGGGTTGAATGGATTAAGAAGCTGAAAAATCGCTCTCTGGAAATGAACAGCCTTGTATATGATACAGTACACCAATCATCAACATGTAACAAGATATACAGTCAAACCTGCTTGAGAGACCACCTCTATTAAGAGATCACATTTTAAACCAGGCGTGTACAATTTCACATTTTGAATACTAGCCTGCAAGCTGATATTTCAAAATACTACTAGCCCAAACTGTATTTTGCATTTAAAATTTTAGCTAGCTCTAGAATAAAATTTACTAGCATCAAAATTATTCGAACTGTACACTCCAAAAAAAATGTACAAAAGCAATTCTTTTTCATGTCAAGTGAACCTGTTTTAAAAGACCAACCACAAAAAGAGACTGCCTTATAGACTTCTTAAAATGGTCTCTGAAGACAAGTTTTGCTGTATTGTAGCAATTCTATAAAGTCAAGATTTTGCTCTCAAAAAGAAGGGATTCCTTTTTCTTACAGCGGTTCATTTTGTTTTTATTTCACAGACATAGACCAATTCCCACCAAGAGCCGCCCTGAAATTAACAATATTAAAACAGAAATCTTGTGACCATGTTTAAGAGGTTCAACATAAGACGCCCCCCGACACATAAAGTTAACCAATATCTACCAGCACACTGCGGGGGTTCCAAACACTGGCAATATTTAAAACTTATACTTGGTATTGTAAAATTTCATTAAACAAAAACCTTTAACATCATGCAACACATGCTCAATATGTCCAACTTGACTGACAACTGCACTTGCATGCTTTATACTTGAAGAACCAACACAGACAGCAAGGGGGAGGGGCTGGGGGAGGAGCCAGAGAATAAAAGGGAAAGGCATGTCAGTGCTAAGTGGGAAAGTGAAAGCAGGCATGGAACAAGAGCTCTTTGGCCAAGGTGTGAAAATAATAAGCTCAATGAAGCAACGAAAAATCAACAAAATCAGTCACTTTCATACAAATACTCTTTGCAAGAAAAAAGTTTAATTTTAAACTTTGTTTATAAATAAGAGGAACAATTTTAGCAAGATTAAATGTGCTTACATTTTCAAAAATTGCAGTTTACAGTGGAAGTTCTGAGGAAGGACGAATTTGTATACAACTACCAAGATTGTACACAATAAACTCTTTTTCAAGCCCTTTCCAAATTTGTTTGCTATGTTTTTTTAAAAGATTTCTGAGTTGGCTTACTCTTTTAAGAATGAATATCGGCTCTTCTCGGTGAGGTTAGACACTTCAAGATCTTCTCTGCAACAACAGATTATATCAATTTTATATACCCAGACAGAAAGAACAAATCGAATTGGGACCAGTGACCATGGGGGAGACGAATAGACATACAGGTGGACACAAATTCACATGAAACACAAGTATGACTGGGGTTTACAAAGCAAATCAATTCTCAACACTCATGATCTGTCTAGCAAAATAGACAATCTTGGGAACTGAAACATAAACAGACCAAATAACTTATAGGTACTGTCATTTGCAATAAGATAGGCTACATGGTCAATTCAAAGGATATAGAGCATGCTAAAAAGTCCATAACATGATGATCACAGAATCAATTAGCCATATCCTACTATTACGTATATACTTTCTGCGCTATTACATCAGGATAGTTCACTTAATTTAACAAGAATTTTACTTACAAAGGATATATAAAATGGAGAATAGTAATTGTAGGGAGTCACCAAAACTGTTCAGTATCACCTAACCAAAGAGGCTGAAGAATCACCCAGTGTTTTTATGCTTCCAGAAATAAAATCCCTCCCTCAACTTCACTTTCAGTATCCCCCTATATCACCTCACCACAAAGGCTGGAAAATCACCCAGTGTTTTTATGCTTCCAGAAATAAAATCCCTCTCTCAGCTTCACTTTCTGTGTTGTCAATAAGAACCAGAACCCGGCAATCTGTCACCTGGTACTTTATTGTTATCCAGAAGTTAACCTGGGAGATCTTGAAATGTTACTTGAAATGCAAGCCATCCACTACTCGAAGTGTTATTAACACAAGTTGGAACTATTTTATACTCTAGATATAAGCTGAACATGCTTCTAGAATATCCAGGTTAACAGATACAAAATTATTCATTGAAGCATACAGGCTTGAATTTTGTTTTAACTTGACTAAATAGATTCTCAAATAATTGGGACATACGCTTAAATATGAGAAGCTTTGATAACTAGTGTTAAGTATTTTATCATTTCAATAAACAAAAGATTAAAATATTGTCAACTCATCGCATTTAACAGGATCATACACAAGGTTACAACACACTACAAGTCATTTACAAAACTAAGTATTCACAAGATGCATTCACTAGACACAGGTGCAATTTACCTCTTCGTGGGGGTCATTCCATTGGCACTACTGATCTCGACGCGAGCTTTCTTGGTGGGAGGTGTTTGAGATGATGTGTCCGAGTGACTGGATCTTAAGAAGACAAGGTGAAAAAAATAATAATAAGCTTACAGCCTAACAGTGTAATTGAAATTTTGACAGTTGACTGTTCAAGATGATGTGTCTGAGTGGATCTGAATCTGAAGGAGAACATATAAAGTTGTAGAAAAATATTAAACTAAAGTTTAAACTCTCTAACGTAAGTTTTGGCTGCGGACTGCCTAAGTGACAAACAAAAAACAAATCATTAATTTTATTCAGGGAAACAAGAAAAAGAATTGTATACCATCTATAATCATGATCAATCGTTTATACATTTATAATAAAAATAAAATGACCAAAGAACGATATCATTTGATGAACAATCTTTTAAGAAATGGTATGTATCAAATAATCAAAATTTGATTACTGTAAAAGCATATATTTTCGTTGGGGTAAAATTTCTTTGTTTTTATATGGGGGACATATTTGTTGGGATTATATTTCATGGAATCAATATCTTAAAGGGGCTGGTAGAGGAAAAAATGTCATATTTGCTAAAATGGCATACACATTTTTAAAATACCTTCTTATGAAATATACTGATTCAAATTTTGCTGAAATTCACTCACTAAGAGTAAAAATTATAATTATATCAAAGAAATCCTAAATCGTCACCTGACAGTCTAAATCTCTCAATTGACCCAGATCAGTGATGTAATTTTACCACACGGGCGTCATCAACAAGGCCAAATGTAAACATCGCGGCGAAGGAAAAGGAGCCATGCTTAAGTCATGACAGGCACGAGGTATCAATACCGTTATATATAACAACAACATATAGGTAGGAATACTATACTTGCATCATACATGACCTTTGAAAACAATTATTTACGTATAGTATTGCTGTCTTGTCTGCTAGTTGAGTCTGAAATGTCACATGACGGCGTGCTATTGTTTTATCTTCATTGCCTCACTTTCGAAACAACCACATGACATATATAAATAGATCTGCACTAAATTTACGTGGGGCTTCCCCGAGATTTCAGTGGTCAAAACTGGATATTGCAAGCAGAACTCGTCCATCATTTTGCCATGGTATAACTTTTGGAAGGCCAGAGTACGCATTTAGACCCATTTATTTTGTATATTTCCCCCCGACCAGCCCCTTTAAAACCCTGGGTTTTTTCCCTATCAAACAAAAATGTGTTGTCGCGGTACAGGTGTCTTCGCAGATACAAGAAGGAGTAGAGATTGAGAAAGTGTTGGTTGATTTGAAAATCAGGGTTGTCAAACAACCCCACGCTAAATGGCTTCTGTATTTAATATTTTCATTTAGTTTATATTCGTGCATTTAAAATTTCGTTGGGATTATATTTCGTGGTTTTCATGAAACCATAAAAAAAGGAATAATTAAATTCCCAACGAAATATTATGCTTTTACCTTATTTCATAATAAAAGGGTTCTACATGACCCACTTACTTATGAGATGATTTGGTTGAGTGGGACCGTCGATGGTCTTTGGACCTTGAATGTTTGTGATGATGATGATGGTGGTGGTGATGATGTTTGTGACTCCTTTCTGACTTTTCCTTTGTGGCAGCACCTTCCTGTCCGTCGGATGCACCTTTATCGCTCCCATTGGACATTCTGTCTCCTTGACTACTGTTGCTATGGCGACTACTTGTACTTCCTCCACTGTCATTTTTCGAGCTTTCTTCCTGCTTGCTGTTATTTTTACCCACAACACTGTCAAACAACTTTTCAGCTTTGTCGGGTTTCTCTTTTGTTGGCCTCAGAGATCCGAGATTTTTTCTATCCTCATCTTTTCGTTGTTTTGCCTTCGCTAAAGCTCGTTTGTAGGCAAGAGTACATAACCAACATAACAGTTTTCCATCGACCTGCAAAATAGTTTTAAATAAACAGGAATGTCATAGGACATCAAACACTGTCAGATCACAATGGTTCATCCCACTGACCTCCAAAAGCAATCCAAAAAATGACAAGAAAATGCTGCCATCGATATCCCCCGCTCGCAGTGCAAAAGTCATTAGAAGCGTAAAAAAAAGGTAAATCAGCATCTGCAATATGCATTCAGTAGAGCAACTTTTGATACACAATTGATGCAAGTATAATCAACATAACACTTGTAGTAGGCAAGATATAGATGAGAGCAATTATTCTTAACCCTTCATGAAGATAGAGCAATTCTTCTTAACCAAGTCAATGAAGTGTAAAATATAGGTCAAATCAGCATCTGCAACATGTATTCAGTAGAGCAACCCAGAAGATCAACTCGTTGAGTGGGGGATAGTAAGTTTATACATAAACCTACATTATAAGGAGTACAATAAAGCTAAATTAGAAGAATTCACCATGATTGGTCTTCTTGAAAGGTTTCAGACACATGTACCAATTATTGACACTTGGTATCTGCTTGATTGACAGTTCAAAGGACATTAAAGTTGTTTCTGATGCATTTCCTTTCTTTTAATACTTCTCTTTATCTCAAACAGACTACCAGTAACTTTCTTTCTTTGGAGGATTTTGTGTATATTTTATGTCAATACCTTTTTCCGTGTGCCGTCTGTGCGGTCAAATGCACATTTCTGTTTACACTGTTCACAGGTCAAAGGTTGGCCCCATCTTCTTTCTGAATTGGCACATCTCTGACACTTATTGCCGATGAAAGCAGCAAGAATATTGCAATATTCACAAACTGATGGCTACAGAAAAATAAAAAAAAGAAGACATAATTCACTATATTGTACGCCAGGTAGTTTTTGCCCAGTGAAACTTTTGCCCTTTGCTGCTCCATTCAATAATAGCCCGGTATTAATTTTGCCCATCACATTCAATTATAGCCCAGTATTAATTTTGCCCATCACATTCAATAACTATGTATATTATATTCTTGAGATCCCTGTACCTTATCACTGCCAAAAACTATAACTGAGTATTTGAAACAAATTTTTCTGGCATGACTATAGCCTTAATAAATCATTTCTGAAAATAAAACCATACCCTGCAGGACTTTATGGGAAATGATAAAACATGAAATAAAAAACACAAAAACAACTCTGGACCAGGATTTGAACCCTGAACTTCTGACTGCTAATCTATCGCTCTGACTAATTAAGCTACCTGGTCTTTGGAGGTGTCCTGGCCAAATTGTTCTAGTTATATCTTAACAGAAGTTAAGGGGAGGTTACTGCATATAGGAAAACCCACTGTTGTGGGACAGAGATCCTTAACCAATAATCGTTGTACTGATAAATTCACCTAATTTACAAAGAGTGAAAAGGGCGAAATTTTAGCTGCAATGAAAATTTGGCGGTATTTGGAATCGCATTTGAATTTTTCATCACATTTGCAAATAACATATTTAAGTAAGGACTTCTTTCAAGATTTCATAAGCACTACTTCAAATGTACTTATATCAGCAACATGGTATTTTAGCACTCAATAATACATTCAATACACATTATTTTATTACCACAATGATACATAAGTGCAGTGACTCTCTCTCAGTTCTTTCTTTTTCAAACATACTTTGGAAACATACATGTATATAAGCACTGTACATATTATAGGTGGATCTGACATATCATAATCTAGAGGTGCTAAAATAATAATTTACTTGTATAATAAAGAAATATATAAATACACTATTTATGTACATTTAAATTAGCCAAGAGATAAAATCTTCAACAATTTATTTTTCATTTAATGACTTTTTTGTTTTTGTGTTTTGTTTAGGTGTTTTTTTCTTGGATATACCTTTTCTTTCTATATTCAATGTTAAAAGACATGGTCGAAATATCAATGAAATTGCCATATATTCATGATCTTTGGTCGACAAACAAACTTAACTTCTATCTGAACATATTGTATGGTTTGGAACCAGGTACTAACCTTTCCATGGACTTTCACATTCTGGTCACACTTTTTACAAATAGAGTTTGTATTGCTCTTGCTGAAAAGGTAAAGAGGAGCATTTGTACAGGTATGAGGAAAACACAAAAACTTTCCTCTTGCTTCAAGTTCTATATAGATTTATATTTCGCTCAAAGTTCAAAAGCTTTAAAAATATCAGATTCAGAGTTATGACAATAGAGACTTGACTAAAAACATGTATTAATAATTATAGAAGGTATTAAAATATTAAGGCTTCATCTATGGCTGAAGACTACTCAAAAAGATTTCTGAACATGATCTTTCTCTTTATATTAGTTGCTTTTAAGTTCATTTCTTGTTAAATAATATTTGAAATATAGAGATTTTTTTTTATGTTTAATATCAAAGAATATTAAACATATATATATAAACAAATTGCACAAGTGAACATAAGAAACCAGTTTTGAATGAATTCTAGTAAAATTTTACACATGTATGTTGGTTAGAGTTTCTTTAACAGAACAAAGGATTTTATTCATTTATTTTTAACAAATATGTTATGTAACACTTTCTGAAGTATATTTTCACCAATTCAACACAACAGATTTCTCCCACTATATCATTTTTAATGCAGTTCAACAAAGAACATTCTTAAACGTGAAACATAATAGTGTTAGTGTAAAAAGTAAAAAAAAGGTCTCATTTTTAGTAGAATATGTCTGAGAAACAAGACATTAATTTGTTTTGGTCTTACTCTTCTTGCTGAAACTCTGCTCTGCAGTAGGTGCACTTTACTACTGGAAAATTGCTTCTACACTCCTGTAAATAAACGACAAAATTACAGTACAGTATATTATATAAACTTAATGGTGTGAGCTCGAGTGATTAACATTGAATGCTGACCTCGTCTAACGTCATCCTTCGGAATGATCACAACTGATATCATGATGTCACAATTTAGTAGGCTTCAAATTTAGAACCCTTGTTAAGATCTGTATCTGTACGTTGTAATACCCGGTTCCGGTTTTTTTACAAAGGGAGAGAGAGAGAGCAGTTCAGTTTGATTTTTGGTGCGTTATAGCACCCTTAAAGGCCTCCAAATTAGGGGCACATACTACGTCATCTTCCAGGTGGTTCCACTCTATAACTGTACGTACGAAGAATGAGTTTTTGTATTGATCACAGTTGTACTTTGGTACTGTATAAGATTTTGTGTTATTTATAACTGATGCTTCCACCACATTATTCAATAAGTAGTCCAAGAAGTCTCTGGCCTTGATGTTCCTTTTTGGTCTGTTTTTTGTTAGATGTTCAGCTGGAGGTATAACTGGTATCAACTCCTCAACCACCTTGTACATGTTATTTTATCGATAGGATTTTTGGGACAAAGATACTTCATTCCTGGCCATTGCATTTCTCTTTCTCCTGTTAAAAAGATATCAATGCAAGTCCTATTCCTTTTCATCTTGACCCCCATTTCTCAAATTTTCTCATTTAAATACAATCCTCATTACATTACATGGACTGGCCTGTAAGTGGTTGTATCTCACTTTTTTGAAATAGTTGACCCAATTAATTTGACACCTGCATAAGTTTTGGCTGGTCTGCTCTAGTCTACATCTTGTAATCATTTTTATAAAGTTGTAAAAATGAACTGTTTCAACCACATTAACTTGTCCTCTATAAAAATCAGAAAGTTGTTCATCCAATACTTACATGCTAGGCCTCCTTTTGAATTCATTTTCAGACAAAAAATATGTACAAATTTCAGTTTTAAGAAAATGACTTCAAATTTTGCAGTTGGTTAGATGATCTTAGGGAAAACTGAATTACATAAAACTATATATGTATGAATATAGGTAAATCTAACTGCTCTTGGTCTGAAAATAATTACTCAGAGGTGAAAGTTCGATTATTTTGATATGGAAGAGGATCGAACGCATTCGCTGACTGCTATTTTTTAAACGAAATTGTCATTACATTTTGTGCTTCATTTGACAAAGTCAACTTCACTGCTTTTATGTTGCTATGCAAGTAAGTGATGCTGGGTGCTATAACTTACTTTACACAACTGTTCGGCTTGAGATAATTCTTCAAATGGATGCCTAGTGTGACATTTTGTACATGCAAACAAAGCTGCCATATTATGTGTAGGTTTTACGAGATTTTTTTCTGTGAAAATCGCCGATTTCACAGATATGTTCGCTTCAGCGGAAGTGGAGTTCATCCGGAAATATAAATTGCGCATGTCATTGTGTATTGAATTAATTTGCAACTGAACTTTCTAAAATCATTTTTTTTGCACATATATAATCATTTGGATGATTAAAATAACGAATTGTGACAAAACTGGTGGCTATCTACAAATTCAATTATATTTTTATTCAAATTGACCAATCAAATCATGGCTTATATTTCTGAATCCGGTTGCAAATCCCCGGATGTTGAGGTATTTTCCCACTCAACTCAAATTGTTTACCTGAGATTCCCTTCAGTAGTGGAAAGTAAGGTGTTCGTACATGTTCGACGGGGAAGAGTAATCTGCAGATGTGCAAGAGATGGAAGATTACTACAGTTCTGTAAGTTTATGATAACCATGTTGTGGAAATCTGATGTATTTAGAATAGAAAATCACAAAAAAGCATTTGTTGTGAAGAGGAAATAACATGTTTTGTTGCCAGTATAAGCCAAATACAGTAGACATATTAAATACTAAATACTTGTATGATCTTAAAATTAATAGCATGCATGAAAACGGAATTATTTGATGCAGATGTGATGGGTGGGATTCTTAAAGCTGCTACTATTTCCCCATAAAATTCTATTCATTTCTGATTTCTTTTCTGTTCCAGTAGATCCTTTCTGTTTTTTCTTATTACTTTCATAAAACATGTGCTGTGACAATAATTACCAAGTGCAGCCCCAAATCCAACAATGTTAGAGGTTTAACACAGATACATGTACTTTTGAGTAATATTATAATGTGCCAACTGCCATGCATGTAACAAGGTAACTGTCAGCATAATCATATCCGATATAAAAAAAGCAGACCAGCCGCCGCTTATATTATAGGAGTATTAAGTGATCTTTCTTATTATTTATATGCTGTGATTTTTTTCAAACTCAAATATTTAAGTCATTGATACATGTATGTTTTTCCTGTAATAATTATATAAGTAGGACTCATCAACTTTGTGAGGATCCAAACACTCTGTCCTTGAGAAAAATCTTTTTCCTGTAGCTATACACGGAATTACTTATCTCCCTTCTTGATTCAGATGCTGCAATGCTTCGAATTCTAGACCATATGTATATATGTATAAATGACTAAATTATAATATAACTTGCCAGATGGAAACTGAAATCGTACATGGCTTTCCATCTTCAAAATGTAAAATATAAATATATTGTATGTATATATATATGAATCAGAGTTTACATGTACATGTACTTCTTTAATTTCCGAACACATGCAACAGAAGTCCCCAACAGTCATATACCTTGAATGTGAATCTCAAGGACATGATATTTGGAGCACACATCCCTTGCAAAATATGTATATATATATTGTTAATGTTGTTATATATATATACGTACTGATCACAGTGATTAATCTACAATTCATTTTTACAAGTCCTTTTCGAATGTATTGCTAAAAACAACGAGTCCCACGTGCACAATGTTAAATTTAAGTATTCCCAGAAATTCTGCGAGTCCCATAAAAATTCTTTGAGTATATATAGGGGACTTGCATGTAGATTTATCACTGCAGTGATCGTGATCCTTTCTCAGATATACATACCATTTCTATACAGCACTAGGTTTAATTACACAGAAACTCTAAAATGGTAAAATATTTAAAGGCACAAACACATCATTATCCCTGCAAGTCCACAGCTGAAATAAACATAAAGAAACTTGTAAACGTGTACATATAGCTTCTAATTATAATGAAGTAACTAGCTATAGGCAGGGGCCAAATTAAGTGATAGGATATCCGTTTGGCCTGTTGAATTTGATGCCAACAGGCCATGGCCCAACCAGCATCTATAACCAACATTTTTTAACATTATTAGCTTATGCTTACTTGTTTTCTGAGGTATTCTAATTAGTTAGTAGTCATTTGTATATTCTGCACATTGTATTTTATCACATTTTGGTCTGGATGTTCAGTAAATCATATGTATGCTAGATGGGAGGATGTGTTCCGCTGAAACATCACTGGCCTGGGTCAGAGCTAGGGCCATTCATTTGCTAAATCAACCCCGAAGTCGGGCACTTTTTTGTTTGACTGAAGATCGGGATGAATTGTTTCCCGAGGAGGAGTACACATATTTCGTATAGTTGAAATGACAGCAGTTATTCGACCAAGACAATACTTTTTCTGCCTGAGGATAGAGCACTTTAGAGTAATTCAGTTGTCCTGAAAACATTCTACACAAATCTGAAATAGTTTAGGGAACTGCAAACAAACTGATTTCTTAGAATGGCCTTAATAGTCATCCTGATTCAACACTGCTGAGCGAATTAAGCAGGGCTGAAATCTTTTATCAGAAATTGTAGAAAATAATGAGTTTTCATTTCAGCTTGCAATTGGGTTTTAACCTCTGTTGTTTCCTGGGTTTTTTTCAACTATTAATTAAGATGTTTTTAAAAATCCCACTTTCTATGCCCCTGTTTATCTGTCAACTATATGTATGCATTTACTAAAATGTACTATGTTTTCATTCATTGTCCAGTAGATATGAAAAGTTTAAAAAAAGAAAGAAACAGATAGATCTAGATCTGAAAAGCAATAGTACTTTCATTTTTCAATACTCGAGCCTAGTTGCAATGTGTAATATGTCTGAGGATTTATAATGAAAGCGATAATATAAATCTTTTAAGTAAATTAAGTAATTATATATAAGTAGCAACAAAAAAGTTTGCAGAAACATTATTGTGGTTATGTTTAATTTGTGAAATGGATTTTTTTTTCTAGTTTGCTGTTCATGTACATCTGTAAAAAATCAGGATTTTTTTCCAATGTCGTAATAATCATTCAAGAGGTCCGCCTGAATCTGTACACGTTCACAATAGATTATTTGTTTGCCATTTACTCTATCTCAGCAGAGGATGAGAATTCAATTTGATAAAGTCAATATTTTCATAATATTATACAATGTAAACACAAACAAGACAGAACTTGAATTAATAGCATAGGGGTTCTGGCAGAGTTCAGTACTAGCTATTTAATTTAACACTGATCATGAAGCGCTGGTACAATGTACATACCCCTGTACATTATGAGGAGACACATCCAGTCCTAATTATATAAACAATTACAAATTCTTATGCACATTTCATAATTCAGCAGTAGGTATCATGCATACATACATGTATACATGTGCATTTATATGATTTAAGGCAAAGTGTACTTAAGAATATTCATGACCATTGAGATTTCAAGATGCACCATTAGGAAAGATAAACACTGGCATATCAGTGTTGCATTTGTTTAAAAGTCCATTAATGTAGCCTGACCATGTTTTATTGTGTGGAGGTCTAAAATCCACCAATACCATGCATTCCATATAACCGACATTGTCAGACTCTCGAGAGTCGGAGCAACATAATTAGACATGCAAACACCTATACTGTTGACAAACGTTGGTTGTCAACAAGATTCATTGTAAACCAATCAAAATGTTATTGTGGATTCCTTGGTGTGGGCAAAGGAGTGATGATAACGGTATCCCTTCTTATTGGGCAGACTTTAAACATGGTGGATTATCGGGACAATATCGTAGGGATATACAAGTTATATTGAATGAGGTATGCTGCCTGATATTGTAGTGATAAACCCCAGTTCAAAGATTACGCAGAATATATTATTGGACCTAGAATTAAATGTATTTTTATTTCCTCAGGACTTGCCTAACCACTAAAACACTTCCCATCATTGAGATATTTAATTGTCATTTTCCAGAAAGTTTTTTATGCTAAAATCGAGCTTCGTTGGCTGTGTCAGTGCTTTTATTCATTCATTGCTTTTGAAGAAATCTATATTTATGAATAAAAAAAATATGGAACTAATGACTTTATAGAAAAAGAACAACTTCTGAGCAGCTACTGTACCTAGTGCTCTTAATTACCTCTTCAGTGATCCTCATTCATCAGGGGATGTTGCTTACAGCTGTAACAAATACACTTTGTCACCTAGTTACAATTATATATACATGTATATGTATTTGAGTACCTGTTTGGATGGCAGGTTGTCACATATTTACTGAAATCTGGTCTTGTGGCCCCACTATAATTATAATATATACAGGGTAATGGCCCTTTGTACATTTCTAGATCTGATACCAATGTTTTGCCATGGCCAGGAGGTGTGGGACTAGAGCTTGCATTATGGTCTAATTGCCTTGATGAATTTATAATTTCTCATATTAGATAAGGGCTTTTTTCTAGGGCCATTCAATATCCATATCCAATGTGAAGAAGAGCTATTTTGTTTCAAAATTGCTTCAAAATTATCAATAAAGAAAATCCAAAATGCAAGAAGGTATATTATGATCATGAATATTTAAGTCTTTAGATGATATTGTAAATGCAAGTGGCTCTTTTGAATATGAAACAAGTGGTAATAAACCAGTGTTGCAAATAAAAAATGTATAGAGATCGAGTCAAGTTATATATGGGTTATATTTTTATATACCTCCATGGTTTTTCCAATTGACAGTCTATAGCTACATGTATAGCTATATCTCAATGCTTTTTTGTACCGTAAATTGACTAAATAAAATCTTTGCATGGATGCATGTGTTCCTTTCAGAGAAGAACTATGTCGAGGTATAGTTACAGTTCTAATATTACACATGAACATAAAAAACTAGTAAAATTGTATAATGCTTTTGTTGAAACATATAGTTATACTGCAATATATACCAGTATACATTGTATGTACCGGTATCTTGTACCAGGTATATTGTTATATTACACGCCTAGGCCTGCTGTTTGTAAAGAAGGGATTCAATTTTACAATTGTATCCTAATGTTACCAGAACACTGATGTTGCCGTTCTATGAGAACAGTGACTATCTGTTACTAAACCTGTACATGTACTCTCTGTACATACATGTATAGGACAGAGCCACTATTGATTGCCATGATGGTTTCCAGGTGGCAATGACCCCTGTGGCCTCTTCAAACAAAGAAAAATGTACATTAAGATTTTATGGCCTTTAAGTCAGTCAACTGGTCTATTGTTGTGTCGGACAAGCAAATGACAGCTCTTGATCTATCGACAGTTGGACTCATGTTTCCGACATCTGCGCAAAGACAATCGTTCAGATCAAATTTGATTGTATTTGTCTTGTACAACGTTATCTAGGGTATTGTAGTATTGTTGTTGACACGACTGGGCGGGTTTTGGACAGGTACCTACACCCCTACCTGTGATTAGTGTATGTAGGTAAGGATCATCTACAGTGTATTGTACATGTGACGGACAGGTAAAACATGTGGATTTATAGTTTGAAGATTTCGGCACACTGGTAGCTACGGAGTGGGACTAGTTCCCAAATCCATGTGTATTAGTATAGCTAGCTATAGCAGTTCCATGATGATCCTACATACAGACATACCTTAAATTAGTGGACCAAACATGTGAATCATATAAAGCTAACATTTGTATGATTGGACTTCAAAATATACAATGTTGTTCCTGGGGCTTTGGAAATCTTGCATGCACATATATGTCTCATGGTGTCCGAAGAGTTCTTAATTTGTAAGATGGTGAACTTATCTATTGATTCAACTTGTAGTTCAATTGTGATAACTAATGATTTGTGGATATTTAAGCATGGAAAGTACATGTAGCTCATACTGTGTGGATGTAAATTTCTACTATACAAATTCAAGCCTTGATTGGTTTTTTAAAACTTTTTTTGCAAGTAATCGAGCAGAAAAAAATACTGTTTACCGCAGTGTAGTTTAAATAACTTTCTGAAGGATCTGCAAGACCAGTGCTTGTATCTACAAAAGTTTTTCTAAGATCCTATGTATATATACATGTAAATATTGCCTGATGAACCCTTAAATGGGTAAAAGTGCTAGCAGTGCTAGCTACATACTTTTTCCTGTTACTTTCGTTGGATTCTGGTACATCATTTCACCATCTGCATGTCGTTGATACAAGTATGCGGAATTATAACGATTTTAAGTGACACAACGTACATTCATTAATGATTTTACTTAAAGCTTGAAACGTTTACTGGTTGCATTTGGAATATAAATACAAAATGGCATACAATGCTGGAATTCGAACCCAACAACGGGACGCAGGAGAGAGGAGCTTTGGATCGTTTGGGTCTACGTATCGATCTATAACTGGTTCCCTTACACAGGTAAGAACGTCGACTCATTTACCCGTGAAAACACATTATATTTAGAACTCTTCCAATTCAAAGGTTGGAACAGTTTATTATGAAATATCAGGGGGGAATGATCAGTAAAAAAACACATATAAAGTTCAAGACATTTTAGCGGTACAACGATCCCGCGGGAGTTGTCCCTGTTAAATGACAGGTGAATGAATGCTTGTTTGTTTTGGGGCACATATCTAACACTTACCTATGAAAACTCACATAATTGTGTATATAATTATGCAATTTTTAATATACACACTGTTTTTCAAAGAATAATTAGTTTGGGAATATTTATTTAGATCTGGTATTACGATCAGTGTGTCACATGCAAGATATACACTTTATGAGTACTGCAGCAAAAGTGTCAGTTTTACGTGCGCATATATACAGATTTACTTACAATCAACCAGTAATGTCTGCATATATAGGGTGCCAATATTCGCATTTCTGTATACATAAGTTGCAAATGCCATCATTTCTGTACGTCAGACTCGGTCGTCAAGTGTAAGTGTTCGACTAAGTAAAGAACTGTCTCAATATTGATGGCGGTATGCAAGTTTGGCGGTACAACGGGTGGCGATACATTAAGGTTATACTGTTATTTGACAATAGAACTTGTATTGGCAAGGTCTTTGGTAATTTTCATGATTAATTGTGTTAGAACTAGAAATATTCATTGCCAGTTATTTGATGATGTTTAGCTGTTTAAACACAGAAGTAATTGAGGGCTGGAGGTTAAAAGTATATGATATTCTCAATGTTTGAATTGCAGGAATTGAAAGTCACAGTTTTGCTGACATATGTTTCTTACATATGAATTATAACATTTTGGCTAGCCAAGTGTTCGCTTCGTATACACTAAGTGGAGTGTATACAAAGCGAACACTTGGCTTGTGAAGATAGAATAATAAAAGCTTTAGACTTTGCGTACCTGGCACGTCCTGAAATAACCATAGCTGTTAATAGGACGTAAGACACAAACAAAATTTGTACATTTCTTGGGTCATCTTTTTGAATCTCAGGATTTTGACTTAAAAATACTTGTTGCCCTTCTAATTAATAACACTCTTTCTGATTGGATATCTTGCTGGGGTCTATATTTCTATAGACCAGGCACGCTCTGCTGGGGTCTATAAAAGCATGTGAGAGGGGAGATAACTCTAACAAGAATCTGTCTTCATTACAACAAAGATGCATGGCTTCCGACACACAATCAAGCGTTCGAGGTGTGCCAATCAATCGACAGCAAAATCAACAAACTGGCAATTAGGGGCCGGCGCCGCTATGTTGCTAATATAATTACAAAGATGGTCGTGTATTGTCCGAAATATTGCCGAAAAGGTGTCCGGTAGGGGCTATTTTGGTAGCAGTCAAGTACAACTCAAACTCACAAAGTGACTTATAACTTTGCAGAATAAAAAAGTAATAAAATATTGTCAGGGTGACAAATTTGTTATCTCTGGGTTAGAAGGGGTCTACTGGCTCATAGACCCCTTTTGTTTTTATAGACCCCGAGACGAACCCGACTAGACCCCTCGACCTCCTAACCCAGAGATTAACTAATAATCTCCCTTGAAGGGATATTTTCAGCATCGTACTTGTTGGTATAATTACCGGTATCAGCAAATAACTACAAATCAGAATTGCAACTTGCAATTGTCCATCACACAAAAAGCACTCCATATATAGTTACTGTACATGCCACACTTTAACTTCACTGTTTTTTGAGGGCAAATTTATTATATTAAAGAGCGAGCATTATTGAACAACATGCTAGTAGTAATGTAGTAAGCATGTAGTAATCAAAAAGAGAAGGTTGAAATTAACACTGGGAGAATAAGGATTTTAACAGTGTATGGTAAAAATTTGACTGGGCGAAGGTTTCCCAGTATACGAGGTAAACGATACAGGTGTATATATATATATATACACCATTTATCAGATAATGTACTGTGTTATCCAGTGAATATACCCATGTCATTTTTTTGCATATTAACCCATGTAATATGACCTATCAGCCCTGCGATCGGTTGTAAGTTTCAATTGTTTCACTTGTGACATCGCACCTAGGACAAGTACATGACATCACAGACTTATGCACTGGAGTCAAAATTTTTGCTTTACACGAATAAATGCCACAAATCTTGATAATGTGATAAAAAGGATCTTACACCCGTTTTCATTTCATATGAAATTTATGAAACTTGTCACGAATTTTTCATTTTTAAATTATAAAATTCTTAGACTCGTTTCATAAATCTCATAAGAAATGGAAACTCATGTAAGATCCTATATTTGTATATACTTTACATATATACTTATGACATATTTTAATTTACATACAGGTAGCTGGTATTTCTGGCTACCTATATACATTGACGCAGCTTCTTATATAATTACAAGCTGTATAGAATTACCTATATACAATATTTGAATTATTTTTTTCTGACTTTGTTATGTCCTCGTGAAGTTTTGTGTGTGATGTAACACAGAAACTGTTCACATTTTGATTTCGCAGTCAATTGATTCAGAATTTTATGATGCTCACAAAACAAAAGTCTCAACCTCATGAATTTCGACTCTCCTCCTTTATATGAAGTGGGTGAAAATTTCCACTTGAAGATATGTTTTAAAAGACACGTATGTTTAAATGCATATATGCAAATTGAAGAGGGATACCAAGGGTAAGTGACAAGGACTGACTTGACCCCTGCCTTAGAAACACTCTCACCTGGATACACCTGTTGTAGACAGAAAACTCGGTTAGGTTTGATTGCAGTGACACCTAGCTAGGGACAATCTATGTATACAGTAATAAGTAAATCTAAACTCTGAGAATATGTGGGGGTTTGTTGCTAATACTCATACAGGGTTTGATTTCATTTCACGAGGTTTTGAAATATATTTCATATCATATAATTGATGAATGTATATACATGAGTTGGTGGTCACAGCTTTGTGTCCTTTAATATGCCCACCCCCATATTGTCTTTGTCTTTGAGTCTGCGATTATGCAGTGAGCAGATCTAAGAGTGCTGATATATATATATAAATAAATGCAGGCTCTATTAACTCCTGACAGTGGCATGCATATGGGGCATTACTTTGTTAGACCTCGTTGACAGGGTACCAGTTTTTAAAATAAATGTAAAAGGGGTAGGTAGCCGTAGTGAATGTTTTCATTGCTTTCATCAAGTTGTTTGTATGTGAAATTAATATAAAGCATTATTAAATAAGAGGTATACCTTTATAAAGTCTTTGCAGTCAGTCACCTGCAACAAGACTTGGTGTATATTCAGGAGTTTACAATCTCATATTTGGTTTCAAAATAAATGTAAAAGGAGTACAAAGCCTGTGGCAATTTTTTTTATTGTCTACATCAAATTATTTGCGTGAAATGGAACAAAGAGCATTGAAATAAGAGATTTACCTTTGAAAAGTATTCACAGTTCTTTGAAAAGGGAGAACAAATAAGTTTCATCCAATAATTTATACTGGGGTGTACAATTTCATATTAGAATACTTGTCAACTGGCAGAGTTTGAAAATTCTATTAGCCAAATCTTTAATTTTATTATATTTTTCTAGTCCTGACATAAAATCTGCTAGCCCCATATACACATGTACATATATGTACATCAGGCTAGTGGAACTCTACATCTCTGATAATGTATATGCGGTCTAGATCTATGAATAGAGTTTGTGTATATATATATTATACCAATCCGCCTGAAGAAGCCCTAGAAGGCAGAAAGGCCTAGCGGACGATCTGGAATTTTTTGTTTTTATTCTATATTATACCATATATTTATGGATGTGTACGTACCTGTGTGGCCAGAACATTTTCTATAAATAATAAAACTATATCAATCTCTTTAAACCTGAAGCAACGAAATCATTTAAATCTTACACTGAATGGTGGAAAATCAACAGTTATTACAAACGTTACAAATATGGAAAGTTAATTGTTGATACAGTTCAATGAATAACTGTTTATCACTTATATTTACTGGCTGCAAATATATGGTGTATAGTACACTGTGTGTATACTATATACAAATAGTCCTTTCAATGTGAAAATATACTACAATGTATACTGTACAGTGTACATGACACATTGGTAGTATGCCTATATATAAATAGTTCAGACATTTTGGAACATTTATGCAAGTTACAGAAATGTGTCCATATGTGCATAAATATTTTGTAAATTTGGTATTGTATTTCAATGGGGTTTTTTCTGTTCTTTTTGGGGTTATACAGTATATATATTCACCCCATACCAAATACACTTTTGACAATTTTTTAGCCAAAACCATTTTGTTTTAGTGTTTTTTCCCTCATTTTTATTTACTATATCATAGCATAGCATTACTGGATGCATGTATATAACTAAAAGAAAAAACACATTTTTATTTTTTTATGTCTCTGCTATATATGCATGCATATAAAGTGGTTGGGGTATTTTATATTTCCTTAATACCTCTACACGTATACCCACCCTTGTTTACACTTTACGTTAAGCTAATTATAACTAACTCTAGTGCTAGTATGGCACTAAACTCCAACGCTCATCAAACTGCCTTTATGTGATACATATATTGAGGAGAACAATATCAGTAAAAGTAGGTCACTGTGGCCTATGTTTTCCACTTCATCAATGTTGCTGCCTATATATATAAATATATGTATAGCTCCAATTGTTAATTAGATCATGCATTGGTTTACCATTGACATAGCTCCATATTCATTAAAGTGATAGTAGGAACATCCGATAAAAATGTTATTGTTTCTATAGAGAAATTTCTAATATGAGAAGAATCTCTTAACAATGACATTTACAGAAAAAATAGCTTTAACTTATTTCTCTCTTCATTACTATTGGAGGGACTTTTTGTAATAGGGTCCGCCTCGGTATCTGTGATCGCTGACGTGCACAGTCATTGTACTACTGTGTGCAATGAAGCGTGAGCTTCAGAC